TAATGAATTTTTAATATTATTTATTATATTAACAATAGCTTTCCTTATAATGATACTTTCATTAAGTGGAGTAATTCTATTTTTTTGTACAAGTGATAAACATAAAAAAATGAAAAAATCTAAAAATATTTCTACATGTCAAATGATAAATACAAATCTATCAAAAACAATTAATCATTCAAATAGTATTAAAACAATAAAATCTAATTATCACCATAGTACATTATCTAATCAACAATTTGTTTATCCAATACAATATAAAAAACCAATTACAGATTGGCCTTATCTTCTTTATGTAAATAAATCAATTTCAGATCCAATTTATATGAATATTGAAAAGAATTCACATGAAATTGATCAGAATCAAATAAATTTCTCTTTTATTAAAACACCTCAATGTTATATAAAAAGAAATTTACATTTTAATCAAAATACTAAATTGAATTCATTATTAAAATCTAATAATATTGATAAATATTGTTTAAAGAAACAATTAAATTTAGTATTAAAAGAAGATCCAAATAAACACAATTCCAATGATAACAATCATAATAATAATAATAATAATAATAATAATCAATATTATGTTGATAATTATGATACTCATAACCATGACAACTTGAATCATTCATTACCATTATCATTAACAACATTTAATCAGAGATCGGATACACCACCTCCAACATATGAAATTTCAATTGGTTTAAATAAAATAGTGAAAAAGTGAGCAGAAAGAAAAAAAGTTATCCATAAGTCATAAGTGAAATTTATAAATATAGATTTTCAACAAGACAATCTTTTATTCTTATTGGAATATTATAGATAAATGAATGAATGATAAAGGTAAAATAACATTTACTATTACATGAGTATATTATATGTCGACTAGATTTAATATCTAAATCAATTGGTCTGTATAACATACATAAATATACTATGCATTTCTGAAACAGGTTTATTTTTAACTGAAGTCATAAAAAAAAATATAAGATTTGTTCGAGGGATAGTTTTAACATTAAATGTAAATGATAATATTGTTATTTCATTGAATTTACATAGAAAAAAAACTATTTGAATTACTCCAACTGATTCTATGATATTTTGATTAATGATGTAAAGGAGAAGAAGAAGAAGAAGAAGAAACAAAAAAAACACCACCATTTTGTTTTTCTTAGAAGCTGTAATAAACCATTTCTATTGTATACACTGAGTTGAATTTTCTTCTAAAGTTTAATAGTTTGTGTTTAAAACTACAAGACGTGTTATGGTGTGAGAACTATTAATTTGAACATTGGACCGTAAGTGATTTTGCAGCTAAATAATATTTATAACTCTGAAATGGTTTGTATGATTTATAGTTGTGTGGAATTTTTACATTATTATAGAAGATTGTTGGAAAGAAGATAATGTTACTTATTTATCAGTGGGGCATAATTTGGTAGTAGTAGTAGTAGTAGTAGTATGTATGTATGTATGTTTGTATGTATGTATGTATGTATGTATGTATGTATTTTCTGGATTGAGCGACCTTACTAACTTGAATCTTCACAGGTGTATTCTAAATTGTTACAAGAAGGACTTTTATACTTCAAAAGACTATGTAAAAGACAGCACGAATTATACGAGTTGATCACCGATGAAATTCACTTACCAAATTTTTTCATTACGTTCAGCTCATTTATCAGGTATAAATTCGTGTATTGAGCTATGAGCCATATTCCAAGTAAAAAAAGGGCTATTATTGAAACTAGCTTTTAAACAAACGACAAGATAAATCAGATAGAAAAATTTATGCATGACTACAAACAATTAAACGTTTGCATAAACTAAACTAGGGTTTATTCATACAACCACGCATTCTAACGCAAATCAATAGGTTAATCACAATCATAAGCTTGCTAGTTATTAACTTTACAGACAGTCGTTCAGTCAGTCAGCCACAACTTAGAACCTGGTGTGTATGTACATCGGTTCACGTTACCATACCTCATTAGCACAGAGAGATAAAGTTGTCAGCCCAAATTCCAGTATAGTACACGTAGTCACAGTATCAGTGGTAATAGTAAAAGTTTAGGATGGGAGATACTTTTCGAAAAGAAGATACAAATTCGTGGAGCAAAAAACAAAGAGAGGGTGTAAGGAATTAAAAACCTCAGAATTCGAGGGAACACAAAGAATGGTTGCGCGTGCGCCACTGCAAACGATTATCCGCCATGTCGTTCAAGGTCGCTAACCATTGGTCACGATAGTTACGCGGACCTCAAACGGGTAGTCTATGCCTACTAACATGGCTAGGTCCAATTGTCAATGACTTCAGTGACTGGTGCCATGTCTTGGTTTGGCCGCCCTTAGCTTTCGTCCAGCCTACTCGTGTGTCAGAAAAAACATCGCTCGTCAAGACAGGTGGTGGTTGAGTATACGTAACACATATCCAAACCACCTCAGCTGATGAATACCTACTACCTCATCAATCGACTTCCCATCCTTGTACCTAGTACTCTATTCCCAACTCAGACATTACTCACTCTGTAGTCGCAAAATACACGAGCAATGCTTCGTAGACACCTACAATTGAATATCAGTAACCTACGAATATCCGCTATTCTTAATGGTCATGTTTCACATCCAGAAAGTAGGACGGAGTGAACTGCTGCTCAGTAAAGTCGCCCTTTGGTTGGAAGATAAATATCTCACCTGCACTACAAGTGACGCAAGTTGGCAAAAGCCAATCGAGCCTTCAGAATCCATGTCGAGATTTCGTCAGATATCAGACCATCAATACTGATGAGACGATGCGTTTAGCTACTTCACTATCTATCATTAATTCAGGTGATGACGCAAGCCAAGTGAAGTAACATTTTCCATTTGGAGGAAGATAACCGCACCCCAAACATAGTTGGATTGTTGCTTAAGGTGGTCACAAGTCCTCATTTTGTCAGCATTTCATCAACAGAACTATATCATCTGTGTATTCTGATTCAACAAGTTAATCTCCTGGTAGAAGATCAATTCCTGAAAGTGTTCTCTGTAAAGGCATGTTTATTACCAAGTTAAATAAAAGTAGAGAGAGCAGATAACCCTAATGAACACCACTTGAAGTGCCCAGTTTCGGTGACCATTCGCTGTGCACTCTGACTCGACCAGTAGTGTTCGAGTAGAGGGCATTTATAAGGTTAATGAACTTATTTGGTATGCCTTTCAATGACAGACTGCCACAGAACCTCACGACCAATGGAGTCGAACACCACCTTAATGTCAAGGAATACAACCATAGAAGGACGTCGAAAAGTATGTCTATCTTCCAGAATCTGCCGAAGAGTGAATATTTGATCTATACATTCACATCGAGGTCTGAAACTAGCCTGGTTTTCTTGAGTTCGCGCTTCACGAGCTCTGGTTAGACGTCGAAGTATTGGTGAGGCTAATATTCTAGTCACTACATTAGTTGGACGTATTGCTCTGTGATTGTCGTAAAAGGGTGTTTGTTCTGTTTTATAAACTGGGATGATCAGCGATCGAGACCAGTCAGATGGGTTACGTCCAGTCCAGAGATTTTAACTAAGATTTCAGTTAATCTGACTGCTAAAACTGGGCTACCATCCTCAAAAATCTCAGGGACTAGTCCATCAGGCCGTGGTACTCTCCCTCACATAAGTTTACTTATAGCCTTTACAATCTAAGAGTTGGAGGACGTGCATCAGTTTGCCATTCATGTAGCTTGGAGATAATAAACAACTGAACTATGGCTGAAGGCTCACGATTATTACGTAGGCTTTTTATTAGCCTACGCCCGAATTGCCTCCACTCCTCGTCATGTTCAGCAGCCAGGAGAGATGAGTTTTCGAACACCTATCAGTTTTGTAGACGCCGCTGAAATTTGCTGATTTTTTCTTAGCCTTTTGGTCCAAGTTAGTAGTTGTTATCACTGCTATTTCCAAAAGTTTTTGGATATCGTATCAAGCTATCATAGGATAAGTATCACTTCTACGGGTAACTCCTCTAGTAGTTCCTGAAATATATTTCCAACTTTTTCATCAAGTTGATTTCTAAGAGGTTTCGTTGCTGTGGTTTTTCTATGGCCTGTAAGACGCAAACAATTATGTGCTCGAACTAGAGCATTGTCAGAGTCTACACACGTGATCCTTAGTGAGGCAGTCTTCTAGCGAGGCCGTCCAATGATGGCTAGACGCAATGTTATCTATTTGAGTCCATCGATCAGTCGATGGTCGCTATGTCAGACGATGTTTCTCCCTATGTTTAAAGTTGGTGTTTACCAGAAATAGACGATTATTTGAGCATCGTTGTAACAGACGGTCACCATTATCTGTTCGCTGAACATCAACACCGTAGTAACCGCCCAAATGCCTTTCAGTTTGATTTAGTTTACCTATTCGAACACCGAAATTACACGCCACTATCACTACATCAGAGAGTTCAGCTTTTTGAAGGAGGTTGGATAGTTTCCCATAAAATTTATCTTTAACTTCAATTGAGCTGCAGTGGGAACGTAGGCAGAAACAACGAAAAGGAAACGGTGCGCCCCTATAATTTTGAGTTTTCACAGTCCTGTTTATTAAGATAAAGCACAAGCGATTGTCTGTTGGGAACCAGTCTAACATACTCTGTCCAGCTCTCGAACTCATACCCACGCCAGCGCGGACGCAGGAAGTAGTAGTGTAGTCTCCAGATACTCGAAGGACAGTTCTCAAAATTGTAGTGAAAAAGTGCGATCGGTAAAGTTTGACCATCTCGAAAGAGAAATAAGACAGCTACTCATTAATAGTATTGAGTGATTATCTCTATTTATCATGAATTGACTGGTGTTGGGGATGTGAACGTACGGATTTTGACATCGATAGGTCTGGGTAAGATGAGCTCATCATATATGGTTGTTCAGGATTCAATTGTATTTTTAGCGTAAAAGCGCCCATTACTGATAAGTCCGACAAAAAAGTCTGGGATGAAATAGCTGTTTAATGCTTTTTGGGTTTCACTGCTTACCAGTGCTGATTTTAATTGAATAAAAATGAATTCCAAGAGTTTACATGTCCATTTATTTGTTTATCAGATATGAGGTAGAAATTTTTAAGATTTTTTATGTAAAGTATGGTTATTTTTCACGTACAAACTAAATTGCTTATTTATTTACAGTATATATACAATAGGTAACAAAATAATGAGTCAAACACGATTTATAAACCTGTTGTTGATCTAAATACAGTGATTACTATTAGAAACTGTTATTTTGAAGTATTTTCACATTTAAACTCATTCGCATACATTATACATTACACCAAGTTACAGTAAAATAAACAAACGAGAAAAAAAGCAAAACCGTATTTCTGCTTTAATAAACGTTCTGTAATCGACAAATAAGTTCATTTGAATGAATTATTATTTACAAAAATACAAATTCCATTACATGTTGCAATAATTTTTACATTTGTGCATATTCCATGAGTAAACGACGACCTAATAAATGCGTAGCTACGCCCAATGTCTCCAATGCAATCTAAATAAAGGGACAAACAGATGACATCGTATCATAATATAATCTAGTTGATTGATAATATGTTCCACATGAACAAATAAGTTAATCATTGAGGAATACTTTACTTTTACTGCGCACTTACTACAAGACCTAATCGAGAACATGAGGTTGACCTTTCGCTTGGTCGTATCAAGGAGTTTCATGATAGGACGAAACAGCTGCTACCTGGTTGCTAAGGCTCTTCTTGTTGAAGTTAGTTCTGTTATAAATTCAACTTTAATATGGGTATTGAATAAGATTAATAAATGAATGTGTTCACTAGTGATAAGTCCGCTTTACTCTAACTATACTGGTGACCCTAGCTTTATTAACATGGTAATTAAGTATGTTGGCACTGATAAACAGAAACAACTCTCTACTCCCCCAGCGTATTCAATCAAGACACGACCAAAATAAACTGATGTACTCACTGTATGTTATTATGACTAAAAAAACTCCAATTATACCATACACCAATTACAAGACAACGCACTACAAATAAGTAGCAGCAATTTATACGTGACTGGGTCATTCGTGATACAAGCTGAGTAAGAGGGATAATTTATCAGCTCTTTGTGAGTGGCAAAACACATTGACACTGCCCCCTGATACCCTGGTACGACCCAGGGTGGGAGAGCCAGCTCTCCCTCTCGAAATTCTCTCACATGGTAACGTGTATACAACCACTGCCAGAGTAGTCCTACTCACTGGCTTCTCGTGGTCAAGGTGTTGTTTATGAAAGGGAGAGGATGAAAAGCGAATGTCCAGTACATTAACCAGGTTAGTGGATATGGAGAATCCACCTAGGACAACGGGAAAACCCTGATTCTAAACCAGTGGTGAACATGGGCTCCAGGATCCTAAGGAAACAGATGGCGTATGAAAATACTGTTGGTCACCGACTACCATGGGACTGCATCTCCTAACGTTGCTCCACTGCCTTGTGGATAAGACCTCTAAGTCAAAGGTTCAGGGTGTGGTCCTATAAGGAAATTACTTGCTTCCATTTGGGTGCCAGGGAAGTATTCCAGCCCTGACACAAATCGAATGACGAAGTGTGGCGCATATATATTAGGTGCCTCCTTGTACCAATTTTTGTGTTTAAATAAATAAATACCAATCAGTTAACTGAGAGCATACAATTAGGGCAATATAAAAATATCATAAACCAAATATTTATCAAACATGCAATCGGCATACATACAATAATGCATCATAGAATAACCTTTGTAGTTCTGTTTTCCACTTATACGCTCGTACTTAACAATTTCATGATAGTAATATCAGTTCTGAGGAAGACAGAGCCCTGACTATTGCAGATCTGATTAGACTTGAACCAAAGTGCACTGATCAGTGCTACTAGGCGAATCGAGAAAATGCTAGATTTTTGTTTCAATTGTATATAAAATCTACCCTTTTACTATAGCATTTTTGTTACTTGGAATTATTGGAGCAAGCACTGTTCGCTCTCAGTTCTTGTTCTGAATTGGACCGAATCCAGTAAAGTATGACGCTTAAGGAATACTATGTACTAGAAGAAAATCATAGTCGGAGTAAAATTTGGAACCAAAGTATTCTAAACAACTCCCACACATTAGTTTGAGATACATGCATAGCGTTGCTACTACTTCTCTTAGGTTTTATTTAACTAACATTAAACTGGTTGAAGTTAGACATATAAACTATTGGATCTCGGCTCAGTAATCTAGATGTTAAGGGTTTCCGTGAGAGATTGAAGGTTCTAGGTTCTATTCCCAATGGGATGGGTGGATGCGCGCTGTTAAGTAGTCATATCCTAGGACAAAATAACTGTTCACCGCTTCTTCGTTTCCAATGTATATTGAACTAAGATTAATTCATGATATCCAGAGAATCTAACAACCACCACCTCCGATCTACTAACTTTTGCTTTGTCCATTGTGTCGAATTCAACGAATGCAAATCCACGATGTCCGCTAGTTGGTTTTTTTGGTAATCGAACATTGACAAGACCACCAATAGGTTGAAATAACTCAATCAATTCTTTTTGTGTAGCTTGAAATGGAATATTACGTACAATTAAAATTTTATTCTTTTTCAACTGTTTTGATGGTATTGATTTTTTAATATTAATTTCCTCTTTATGTTGTTCGTTAATATTAGTAGTAGTATCACATTTATTTATCCTATTTTCATTATTTGAGTGTAGTTGATTGACACATTCAACGTTAACATCGTTAGTGAATTTAACTTTTTTACTTTTATGTCCCATAAATTTGTCGATTAGTTCCAATTCACTTGATTTATTGTTAGCTATTTGTTCAATCTTTTGTTTTTTATTTAAATATTTTTTAACTCGTTGAGATTTTGATATTTGATATGAAATGTTTTCATTGTCATGATGAGATGAGTGATCCATAACTGCTACTGTATCTTCATCATCATGATCATCTCTGAACTTGCGGTTACCAGTTGGAATGGATGTGATCAGTTCAAATTCATCGTCAGATTGCCTAGGATGAGGAAATGAAGTGGAAAACTTAATCAACATTATGATGTCGATTGGTAAAAATAAATAAATGATAACAGTGTAGTTTAAACCATAAACTGACCGTAGCTAAACAACTACTGAAAAACAGAAAGCACTGGACAGGTGTTTCGTCGTAGTATGGAACTCCTCAACACAGTGCATTAGATACCTCTAGTAAGATGCCTTGATTATTGGAGTTCACCCATTTCCAAAGTGAAGCAATTACTATGTAACAGTTTTGGAAAATGGATACGCAATATAACGAATTAACTGAGGTCAAAAACGTAAGTCACTGGATGCAAACTTTGTAGGCGCTCCCTGCGGGACCTAAAGGTGTTGAGTTCGATCTCCGGCGGGTGACAACTGTGTCTGGTGAGGCCCATACTAGGACAAAAAGATAGCCAGTGCTTTCTATTTTTCGACAGTTTTCTAATGTCACTTCGTGATATAACCTGTAAAATTCAATCATTTCCAAAAACCCCTTACATAATTGATACGAATTTAACTGACTTATTTTCAATACGAAGCTTTGTGTACACGGATTCGGGACAAGCTTCAGTTTTACGAGGGTTAGTACTACTACTACTGTCAGACTTAATTAGGTGACGGCAGGACTGAACCTGCAATTCGACATTTGGCAGTATAACACCTTGACTGATTCTTGAAAAAAAGTTGAGTTCAGAAATTCATTTATATATCTTATATATGCAGCACGTCAATCAACAAAAAACAACTCACTCAATTTTTTTAACCTTATCAACAGATGATTTCTCGTGTTTCGTCCTTTTCGGCTTATGTGTGGAAGCTTCTTCGGATTTTATTTCCTCATATTCATTATCATCAGGAGTGGATGATTTCAGAGCCCCATCTGGTAACCACTGTAGAAACAGAACACTATCTCTAAACTAAAAAGGGGAATATAAAGTGAAATTTACGTGGAATTATCTAAAAGTTCTACAACTTCTGTCAGAAAACTGAAAATGATCTAACTGATAGAAAAAAATTATTATGTGAACTTAAATATGTTACTTCCAAATGATGAGTGATCATTACGTTTACTTCTAATTCTTCAGCAGCCGGTATGACTGGACTTTGTGAAAAAAGTTACCTACGGAATAAAGTCAATAAAGCTGTCGCTTACGAAGGGGTTTTGTAAATGTTATGAACTATCCAGTATTAAATCAATATTTTTCTGCTTCGATATTCAGATCAAAACCTTTATCAAAAATTCTACTATATAAAAGAAAAGTGGTTTAGTAATCGACTTCCAATCAATAATTTGTCTCACGTTCAAATTCGAATTCCACCTGAATTGCTTTGGATTGCTGAGTAGTAGTATTGCTAATCATTACATAAACAGTGTGGTTCACGTCTGAGTATACTAGCAGACTAGGTAAATCTAGGTATATTATGTACCTGAGCTTATATGACATCTCAGGACCAAACAGTGGTCGGGAAATTATAAATGAGATACACTATGATAGGAAATTGATTAAACTCCCATTCAAGATCTTAGCTTGTGTTATTTTCTTGGTAAGGACAAATGTATATAAATCAATGATTTGTGTACCCACTCATTCGGTTTTGTCAGTTATAAACTAATAGCAATTCCTCAGTCTTCTCACTTTTGTCGCTAGGTTGACAAGCGTGAAGAAAGAGTTTGTATCTGAATCAAACTTGACACATCATAGCACACCTAAAACTTCAATTAATAAATGCGTTACTTGTATAAAACAGGGGAATTGATCAACCTGGGTTATTCTAACTAATAACTTTCTCACTTTACAAAAATTCTGATCGGCCACCAAAGTACTTAAAAGACTCAACTACATTAGTTAGTGCAAAAAGATTCAGGTAGTAACTGTCAGGTATTGTGGTGCAAGGTTTGGTAGTCCAGAAAGTTTGCAATTAAATGGTTAATGTAATAACGCGAAGCGTCTGAGATCGATACTGATACACAAACTTCCTACAAGCAAGCCACCAACCACCTGTGAATTGAGTGAAAAAACTAAGAATGGAGAAGGAAGTTTATGAGCTGAACCGATTTATATGCATAGCCACTGATATATATATATATATATATATATATATATATATATATATATATATATATATTTATAAACTTCCTCTGTAGCCCATCTAGGGTTACTCCAGGTTTCAAGCCCAGATAAACGAAGAGGGTTGAAAATAAGATCAGCAACGGCATCCCGCAAAAAAACCTTGCTAAAAAAACGCTAAACAGAAAAAAACTACTTGAATCATTAAAGCTCTACCCTCCGAGTTGAAAGATCTTCATTTCGAAGAATTGTGAAGCCTCATGGTGAAATCCGTGATTCTTTGGAAGCCACAAGGTCGATGCCCTTTCTAACAACCAGAGCAACAATTCATATAGGTACACGGAGTATCTGAACAGTGTAGGAGACTGGGAGGACCAAATAAACAGCTGTGCAAATGAGGGAATGGATTGAACTAAGTGGCTATACGTGACACTATATTCCCCCCACAAACCCATACAAAAAGCTATGTGTTTAACCCGATCACACTACACAGAACTAAATTGATAATATTTGCATCAACAAAAAATCCAGTAGGTCAATGGAAGACGTGAGAACCAGGAGAGAAGCTGACATCACTTCAGATCACAATTTGGTGGTTGCCAAGATGAACTCGAAGGTAGAGAAGCACCGGACAACTAGAGAAACAACATTAAAGAGGTTCAATACAGCCTTCTTCTGAGATACTGACGAACTCGAAGAATTCAAAATAGCTTTCATCAACAGCTTCCAAATCTTACAAGATCTGCTCAGAGAAGAAGCTACTATGGGGAACAACTGGGAAGGTATCAAAGAAGCACTAATTTCAAAGTAACATATGCTGAGAGCCACAAGAAACACCTTCATAAAGAATGGATCTTTATCGATATCCTGGTCAGTCTTCAAGACAGGAACAACAAGGAGACAGCAATTAACAACAACTGAAACAAGAGCAGATAGAGTAAAATCACAGGCAACATACGCAGAAAAAAACAATAGAGTGATGGGGAGAATTAGAGCCGACAAGCAGAAATAAGTGGAACACCAAGAAATGACAGTAGAAAAAGCTTCAAGAGAAGAACATTCCAGACAAATATATGATACAACGAAGAAACTGGTAGGGAAATATGGTAAACCAGAGATCAATCAGAAACAAAGAAGGCCAATTAATCACTGAGATTCAAGAACAGTGGAACAAGTGGGTAGAGCACTTTGAAGAACTCTTGAATAGACCAGCCCCAGTGACCCCCCCCCCAGATATCGAAACAGCACACACAAACCTCCCAATACATCACTCTATAAACAGTCGAAACAGACAAATCAACAGTAGTAAAGTAGTAGGACCAAACAACGCACCAACTCAAGCACTGGAGTCAGACATAGAAGTAACTGCAAATATGCTCTACATCCTATTCAGGAAGATTTAGGAGGAGGAACGAGTCCCGACATACTGGAAAGAAGGACACCTCATCAGGATAACAAAGAAAGGAGATATCAGCAAGTGTGAGAACTACAGAGGAAACAACTGGAAGGGATTGTCGAAGAAAGAGTTCAATGGAGAATCCTGATGGGTGGCCTATGCTTCTCCAAAAGAGATAAAAGGCGTAAGTTAATTAAAAAATAACATACCGGTTCATATGCAAGTGCTTTGTACATCAACCGAGCTTGTTGAGAATGGGCATATTCTACAATAGCAGTAATGCCTAAAGGAGGTACTAGAACACGTTTTAATCCGGAACGAATTGAAGGAGTGTTAGCATCAACAGTTACAGAGCTTTTTGTATACCGTTTAAGCAAATCTCGAACTTCAAACTCAGTTGTTCCAGCTGGTAGATTTTTTATTAAAAATGCAGTTCCTGATAATTGACGAATAGTTGATCTTGACTTTGATTCTAAACGACTACGTTGACCTGATGTTTCGTGAACAACAACGGAATTATCTTCTGTTTCTTTCACCTCAGTCTCATCATTGTGCTTTTCGAAAGCTTCCAATCGTACACCATGTGCTTTTAAAAATTCTTTCATTTCAGCAACTAACTGTGTCTCACCATGTGCCAATCGTACAGCAACTGACTTATTTCCTGATGGATCTAAAACTTGTTCCTTAAAAGAAGAATAAATAACAAATTCATGTTAGTGTTTGATTTAGAATGACAAGTGTGATCTTTTGGGGAATTAATGTGCACAGAAGTAGGATTACAATATCAGAGTGTGAATATAACAAAAATTACATCCCTTGAAAAGTATTAAGTAGCCATGCAAATTTATTAGGTGCTCGGGGATAATCAGCACGGAACGCCGAACCCGCGTTTTGTGCTAGTTCGCACTCTTCATTAAGGCGTTCTTGATATACTCAAGGAACTTATGTTCCATGTGGAGTTCAAATCAGGATCACCCAAGTTTTCAGTCGGAAGAGTTACGACTGAGTTACTAGCACCTCGACTGAGATATCTACAGTTGATTGATCGCTGAGTTGTGATCAATGCTACCTTTGTTTAGCCCTTTAGTGCTGATTGAATTCAAGTCATAATGTGATCACCAGTTTAAGTAGCTCAACATATGCTAAACTGTAGAAAATGAATCATTAACTAATGTATTTTCGACAGAAGTAAAGTATATGGTCGACCTTGAGCGATGTTTTGGTCAGTCAAATAGGGAGTTTTTATTTATAAAAGAATTTAAAGCAAAAAATGATAAAATTACAACAGATCACGACTTTTGACATGAGCAGTCAACTTTTTCATTCAAATAACCACTTACAGTAAAGGAAGAAAAGTTAGGGTGTTCATACCAAACTGACATCAGCTAGGATGAAGGGGTTAAGGTTACAAGTTTGGCTACAAAACATTCCTCCTTTATAACCGCATAGATTAACAAAACTTGCACAAATATTCACGATGCACAATCGTAAACTTTAATGTTTTTTTAATAAAGTGATGTCACAGTAAAAACATTTAGTTTACTTCAAAAATCCTGTATGTTGTGTATTTTAGGTATATTGGTTTGTATTGTTTTTTCTCCTGAAAAACCAGTAAATCTTCCTCTACAGTTCTAAAAATCGAGTAGATCAATTCCTAGTCTTTAATCTTGTTATGTTTGTCAGCTTTCAGCACCTAAATAGCAAAACATTCATACATTTTGTTGAATTGTTACATAGCTCATTACAACTTCAAAGTTGTTAGTAATTGGATTTCGAAATACGCAATAAGATGGAATAATCACTATTCTTAATCTGCCTGGCTCGTTTATACACTTTACATTTCTCGTATTTCCTAAAGGACTTTACAATCAGTGTAGAACAATTAAATAGCTCATTACATTAGTTAAATTTGTTGGTTATAACAGTTGAATTTTATGACATTATAAATTGTCTTCATACACTCAAATTGTTTATTAATTAATATCAAGCGCTACTCTGTATAATTTGTTCAATATGTGACTATTAATAGATCTGAAAAATCGCACAAAAATCAGCGTATTCATAGTTCTCGATCGATTTTTGGTGTCAAATAAATCTTCAGTTATCTTTTCTTTTGTATCCAGCATTGTCAATTCCCTGTTGAAAAAATAACAATACCATGAATAAGTGAACGGTTAAGAAGTACTGAAAACTTTAGGCATAGAGGGGTAAATTCAAACTAGCATTCACTAATAAATCGAACGATTTATACTGAATTTATTGATTGAGAATGGTACTTTGTATTCTGATAATCGCCGTAGAGTTCAGAAATTATTTGAAAGCTGTTACTCATCAAAATAAAGCTTTTACCATAGTCAAACCGAATTTCGCAGCTAAATATGTAGCAACAGCATCTGGACGAATAAATAAAGCATTCCAATTATGTCCAACGCTTGAATCCTTTTTCAATTCTTGAAATCGATCGTTTTGAAAGCTTGATAGAAGCATCTTTGGTGGATCAGCGAAATTCTCATTTCTATAAAAATTATTTAGAGGCTTTCTAAATGAGTCCTTAGGTTCTGTGTTTTCTTGACCAGGGAGGATGTGAATTAGCCTGTCCTAGATGTAAACATATAAAAATAATTTAAAACACAGTTAACAATACTCTATTGAGACTGACAAACATCGAATAGTGAGATACATACGTAATTTTAGAATAACTAGTTAGTTAACAATTACATGTTTATCATAATGAAAACTTGTTAAATAATTGTCCTACAAACACACCAGGTAAAAATGAAGTGCAAAGATTAGTGGTTATTAAATGGTTGGAGTAAATTTATATTATGGGTCGTAAGCTTAATTCATTATCAGAAGTCTGGTTCTCAAACCACATGAGAAAGTTAAACATACTAAAGTATTATGGTTTCATATCAGATGGCTTTTTGTGGATTGTAGTAATTTCAATGGGTAAGATCATGAGTCAATTGGTTTCATACGATTTACAGTGGAAAACCACCACTAAAAAATTCCGTAAGTTCTTTTAACACAAGATAATGAAAATACTAGTAAATTAATTTCAATAAATTAACCTACCAACATATATATGTATATATATATATATATGTATGTATATATATATATGTAAACAACGGATGCTCCTACTACTAATTGGATCTGTTGGATAACCTAGACGATAGTGATTGCACCTGACCTTGGTGATATCGAAGGGTTCCCCAAACACCTTTCTCGGAAACTCAAGATTTGTAGTTCCATATTTGACTGCTCTCTGCATGAGCATTACATTCTTAATTAATTTGTGACCTCATCCTGCAAGATTCAAAATTAGCTTAAAATACATCGTATGCCATTCTACTTTTTCCAATGTTTACTGAAACCTACGTTCAGTGTAGTTGAGTTAGAATCTTACTTTAACAATTTTCCGTTGAGGAATCCATTATAATGGTAGATCCTGGTAGCTAAAGGACAAGTGTTCGTAGTGAATTTCGGAAACAGTAATACTTACAAAAACTATTTGAGAAGCTAAAGTGAAGACGATAAACCAACAAAGCAATTTTCGAAAACCTGTATGCTTTTAAATGTGATTGTAGGGTTTTAGAAGGAATGCCTGTCAAATGATTCACATGCTACAGGAATCTTAAGACATACCAAATAACACTGTTAGGGTTCGAATTGGCTGGGATATACGTTATGTATGCCCAACCACATCATACTTCGACTCGGAATGTTGAATGGACATTGGTAGGAGACCAAATCACCACGTAATATCAATCCACGAGATCAACGACTGCTGGAGGATGCAGATACAATCAGGAATTGAGAAAGCCAGGTGATACGGTTTACAACAGATCGCATTGGTAGAGAAGCGTTCACTTCTTATATACCCCTTGTATTTTGAGGGGTATATTCTTCGGCACATGTCTTCTTTTTGAACATTCTCAATGTTTAGTTCTACTGCCAATTACTGATATTAATGTCACTCCGAGTCCTATGCTACTTATTCTGATAATTTCACCTCACGTTAATGTAGTATGGCAACTTTAGTCAATGCATATTTGTAGCAGAGTTTATATTGATAATGAAGACGTTTTCAGCTGAGCGGCAGAATTGTACTCAGTAATATAGTAGGTTTGACACTTTCGAAAACACTATAACGCTAGCAGAATCATGATGGAAAGCCAAACTGACTAGGACATTTACAGAAAAGATTATTAGTTTGAGAGACGACTGAATGACTGACAAACTTACTACTGAAATAAGAGCTAAAAAAACGAAGACTGACCGACTTATTTAAATTCAATGCCTAAAGCCGAAATACATGAATTCAATGAAGTCTAACGGTTGCACTTTGTTTCAGAGGGTTTAAATATTTTGTAACTTAGCGACATACAACACAGACCGATAAGCAAGACAACCGTATTTTAACTATAAAATACGTATCTTAGAATGTTAGTGACAACCATGATGGTCTAGATACATTTCTTATTATTAAATATGATTATTTTAGCCAACGATCTGAATAACTGCAAGAGTAGTGTTCTTCAAAATTGTATTTCTTCGGTTAAAGTTTCCTGTTGAAATTTATAAACATGCTATGGTATTTCAGTCATACCTTGGCGACTCGTCAATTTATGCAGTTTTTCGCATCATAAGCCTCTTTACTTTGTAAATTCAACTAATTTTGACTAATATAGGATTGTCAGTAACACAAAGTTCCAGATTAAATTAATTTACATATTGTAGTACCTAAATTAACTAGGTAAAGAGACTTCCAGTGCTCACAATAACATTCAAATGAAATTAGGATTACAGACCATATATAAATTTGTATAGTATCTTGAGTTACTTGTGGACTCCTAAAACATTTAAGATGCACTTTATGCTACTAAAAAGTGAAAATTTACTTCTGAATCGGATCCTTACAAAAAGTAAGCAACACTGGTTCATATCATAAATTAAATGACAGGAAGCACTTGACATACCATGTATAAGTACCTACGTAGTTGTTTTCTTAGATTAACGGCTTAGTAGCAAAATTGTTCGGTTAATGATCAAGACCTGTTCTACTTTGGTTTGGGTGGAAGGTTAATACCACTAACCCTCAAACCAACACTGAGTACTCAGAATACACAGATGATATAGTTCTGTTGATGAAATGCTGACAAAATGAGGACTTGTGACCACCTTAAGCAACAATCCAACTATGTTTGGGGTGCGGTTATCTTCCTCCAAATGGAAAATGTTACTTCACTTGGCTTGCGTCATCACCTGAATTAATGATAGATAGTGAAGTAGCTAAACGCATCGTCTCATCAGTATTGATGGTCTGATATCTGACGAAATCTCGACATGGATTCTGAAGGCTCGATTGGCTTTTGCCAACTTGCGTCACTTGTAGTGCAGGTGAGATATTTATCTTCCAACCAAAGGGCGACTTTACTGAGCAGCAGTTCACTCCGTCCTACTTTCTGGATGTGAAACATGACCATTAAGAATAGCGGATATTCGTAGGTTACTGATATTCAATTGTAGGTGTCTACGAAGCATTGCTCGTGTATTTTGCGACTACAGAGTGAGTAATGTCTGAGTTGGGAATAGAGTACTAGGTACAAGGATGGGAAGTCGATTGATGAGGTAGTAGGTATTCATCAGCTGAGGTGGTTTGGATATGTGTTACGTATACTCAACCACCACCTGTCTTGACGAGCGATGTTTTTTCTGACACACGAGTAGGCTGGACGAAAGCTAAGGGCGGCCAAACCAAGACATGGCACCAGTCACTGAAGTCATTGACAATTGGACCTAGCCATGTTAGTAGGCATAGACTACCCGTTTGAGGTCCGCGTAACTATCGTGACCAATGGTTAGCGACCTTGAACGACATGGCGGATAATCGTTTGCAGTGGCGCACGCGCAACCATTCTTTGTGTTCCCTCGAATTCTGAGGTTTTTAATTCCTTACACCCTCTCTTTGTTTTTTGCTCCACGAATTTGTATCTTCTTTTCGAAAAGTATCTCCCATCCTAAACTTTTACTATTACCACTGATACTGTGACTACGTGTACTATACTGGAATTTGGGCTGACAACTTTATCTCTCTGTGCTAATGAGGTATGGTAACGTGAACCGATGTATATACACACCAGGTTCAAAGTTGGCTGACATGTATTTACTAGATTGCATGCATTCGAAAGGTCACTGCAAGTTAGAACTTGAATATTTGGCAAACATTGCAGGTCAGTGGTAGCCATTTATGATTTTGGTAAAGCACCAGATATTTTTGACGAACAGAGTTTTATAAACCCATCATATATTTCAATATTTTGTATCTACAAAACTCCAGAGGAAGTTAACTGCAGTGATATATTTTTACCATACATGTGGAAATCGATCGCAAAAGAATCATGTTCAGAAAACGAACAACGCTTAAGCATTTTTAAAATTATGTAAAAAGTATAATAAGTATACCGAACTACTCACCATAAACTTTGTTTTATCTAGTGATTTGTAGGCTTTCACAGCGTCAGATGGGAACAGGAAAGTGATGAACGCAAACCCCTTGGACACTTGAGACCAATGGTCGAAAGCTAAGTGAATGTCTGATAGGGATCCTAGAAATATATGATAGTCCGATTCAATAGGGACTAACCATGAACAGAAAATAACTTTTCAAGGTCTTGTTCAGTGCAGGCATAAGACAGATTACGGACAAATAACCGGCCGGTCTAGAATGCAATAAAAGAGTGGCAAAACTTACCTCTAATATTGCAGATACTATTTCGTCATTTGTCTTAACTAACCACTTAGGTAGATCAGGTTCTTGTACATAAGACGTTTCATTCTCTTCTTGAATGTGTTCTTCAATCTTGACTGCCCTTCCACCTATTTCCCCCTTCTTTTTTAGTGCTTCATTCAGGTCCTGGTGATTCTTAAAGAACACCAAACCGATACCTATTCAAATAAATGTTGAAGAAAAAACACATGTGCACCATTTTTCAGGACCCTGAAGTCTTTTATCCTAATCGGTTTGAAGAACCGTTTGACATCTTTCTGAAAACTGTTAGATATGCCGATCATTTAATTACAATTTTCACTTCACGACTGAAACCTTTTATTTTCGCAATATACGCAACACGCTTCTGAATCATAGTAACGCAATATACAAGCTATGCGCCAGATATAACAATTCTCAATTCTACTTACGTATAAGTCAAAAACTATAAGAAGTTAATAATTGAAAATCAGGTTGGATCTGTTTATTTGAGTGAATGATATGGATGATTTCACTTTAGATGGCTCACCTCTATTTGTTTCGGCACGTCACATTTCTTAAATGCGTTACTACAGACTTAAAGTACGCTACTAACAAGTTACTCTGTTAACTCTTCAAAACTACCACATTACTGCATTGTGGAATCAGGAACAAAAATGATTCCATGTGTTATCGGACATACTATGACATCCTTTGTTTGCAGTAAGATCAGTCATTTTTTACTAGTCTGAAAAACAGGAGTGATGTATTTCGTGTAGGTTGGCGACATTACTATTTTCATGACTCGCCAAGGTCTGTGCATATGCGGGCCAGTTGTTTATACATCTTTGCTTTTGTGAGCAAGTAGTCTTGTTAAATTCGAATTCTCTGGAGATACACTTGTCTAACAAACCCTGACGGCATAAAACACAAACTTACAGTTTGGATAGAGGAAATTATATAATCAGGGTTTATTAGTGCTTATTTTAAAAGTGCCTAGTCTGTAGAAATGGTACTAGCGTTATTATTATACCAGCGATTATGACTTCAGTTGCGATTCTGTAGATCGAAAATCTTGATGATCTATGTCGAATGATTGGAGGCCTACTCGAGTTAAACGGGAATGGTATGACGAACCAGTCAACTTCGAGATCAGATCTCGCGGTCAGTACTTAACGTGGATTACCTCTCCGACGTATCAGTGTACTATGGCTGCTCTGAAGAACGTATAACACAAAGGACGTTAATATGGAAATGTACTATTAAGAATGAGTGCAGAGTAGAAGGCTAGATCATCACTGCATGCGCCAGCCATGGCGTACGATCAACTGATGCACGTTGGTTATCCTTGACCTTGACAAGAGATCGATTATCTGTCCAATATTCAGTGACCCAACTGCCGGATGATTTGGCTAGGGCTCAGTGACATTTCGCTGGACCTACAATTTCTTACAAAATTTTCCATAGATTTTGGTTCGTGTCTTGAAATTTACAAAACGTTTACACGATCTATTCCGGCCCAAATTACAGAATGGAGGTATAGATCTAACTATACAATAAAGCGTTGTACTCTTAAATAGTGTAGATCCTTTGTATTTTATCTCGTAATAAATAACTGATGGGATGTCTGAATCTGAAATGTCAAGTCATGTGCTCATCCGATGTGGAGCCATTTTCGACAAACGCTCTGTGAGTTAGTGAATATAATTGATATAAAATCCTATAAAAATCTCCAGGAATTCAGTAATAGATGCCACAAGTATTCGGAATTTGACAACACCTTAACCAGTAACATCTTTTATAATTGAAACGTGCCAACCGAATCAAATCCATCTTCCTCCTTGTATATCTTCCGGTAGAACGAGACGTAATTACATTAAAATCCATGCACGCAAGCAAAAGTATAAAAGTTCTATAATGTCTTACCTAGCATATATACTTTGTTAGAGTTAACCTAGTCAATAACCTGCATTCTTAACATGTTTCTAATTTGAAAAGTTGCACAGTTTTTCAGATTTTTTCAGACCCTTTTTTCCTTTTTTTCTCTTGGTTTCTGTTTTTGCGTAAGAAACTTGTTGAAATACCCTGTGCTGAGAATTCTATATTGAACCAAAATATAATATTGAATAAATCCATTAAATAGATAAAAAAATAGAATAACGCCTATCAAGCAGTGTGAAGGACGGTTGAGTTACTATTGTAGCTTTCGAATGTCTGACTAAAAGCTTCATATTAATACTCACGAACATCTTTTGGGTATATAAGTGTTGTGAAGAAACCATGTAGAATTATAGTCTACTTCGTTACTAGAACTGCTCTAATAATAGGCTTAATCCTGGAATTTCAAATTTATCATGTTATAACTGCCTAGTCTATAAGATCTCACATGGAAGTGACATCATTGTCTACACTGAATCACCGTTTCGCAACAATTACCAATATATGACGGAGAACATATACAGGCTGAAGATAGAACAATGGTTAGGGCCCAATTCCATAGCACAAATTTCAACTACGTTAGCATTACATCTGCCATATTTGAAAAAGAGAGAAAAAGAAGGAAAATAGTGATGATAGTGTTATAATGATAGAATAATAATAAATCAGTTTCGGTATAATTGAGAATAATAGTGAGGAAAAAGTAGAAAATAAGGGAGTAGAAATAAAGGAGACGCGAAATACGTGAATAGTCTAATAAGCGTGTTTGTGAACACAGAACAAGAATAAACGACTATGTATGTATTGCCAAATGGGTAACGAAAATGAAATTAAACATAGTATGATATGACGCTAGCATAAGTGTTTGTGCAGTCTTAATTTGGGGTGATGCCATGAAAGTTTCAATTAGGTGCAAATGATAGCCAAATATCAATATGTATGAGTCATGTATGCATAGTGAAAATAAAACGAGTCTAATAAGTTAATTTAATTGTAACACAAGTTCTGAAGCGAAGCACTGATTTTTTAGATTTTTTAAAGTCCAATCAGGTAAACACATGTACACTTATGTATTAGGATACACAGTAAAAATTTATATTAGTGTAAATGTTTGTGCAATAATAATTTTAAATGATGCTATGAAAGTCACAGTTAATTGCAAAGGATAATCAAATATAAATTTCTATGTGTTATACTTGTGGTGAAGATGAAATGAATCTGAGGAGTTGATTTATTTAAATGTAAAGTAAGATAACTTGTTTCTGGCTATAGACTTTCGATGTTTAGGAATAAAACATGTGTAGAAAGAAAAAAAGAGATGAAAAAAATGTCTAATGAGTTGATGGACCAATCATGATGATAACAATAATAGTAATAATTACAAATATGAACATTGGCAGACTTCATATATTAAGATGAACAGAAATAAAATAAAATAGGCATGAAAAGTTTCATAGGTTACACTTTGCTTTCCAGTCAATTAGATGGGTGACGGATGTTGTGTGTATAAATCATTATTAAACACACTGATATTTAATAGGTGACACAATCCACTTTCAGAAAGATAATCATCAAGGAGACTTCTGAGCCAGGTTGTAGTTTCACTGAAACGGAGGTTCACTGGTAGTCTGTTCTACATGGTTGAGTAGCGAGTAACGGAAACATTCTAGCGTAGGCTTGTGTGGGTTCTTGGAATTGCTAGAATAATTTCCTTATTGCATAGATTTTGGTGAGATATCATAGAGTATGAGGGGGTGGAAATCGAAGAGTAGGAAATATCGTTAATAAGCCGGTAGATAAAGACAAGGTTTAATTTGATACGTCTGATCCAGAGAGGTTCTAATTTGAGTTGTTTACATCTTTGGTGATAATCCTTGTTGTCGGAATATCCCAAAACAGCTTTGGTGAACCTTCATTGAACACCTTCAATTTTAATCTGGTCATTATGCCTGCAAATACTGTAAACTAAAATACCATATTCAAGAATGGGTAAGATACATTTTCTGTATAATAATAGCCTCGATTCGATATTATTGAAGTTTATCATTATGAATCAAATGAGCTTTCTAGCTTTAGATACTTGAGATGCAATGTGCTCAGAAAAGTTCAAACTGTTGCTATATTTTAAACCCAAGTCACGAACAGTGTTAAGAGGTCTCAGTGCATGTTTATGTACAGTCAGATTTAAGTTAAGGCAGCGGCCAATGTGAATAAATCCACTTTTGTCAACATTAAGTGACGAATTACACGGGACAGTCCATTCGTACAACTTGTTTATTTCTTCTTGGATTGCGCTGAAATATAGCTTTCTGTGGTAGGAGCAGAGAATAAATAAACTACTTTTAGGTAATCGGCAAAAAGCAAACGCTTACCATACTGAAAGATGGAACACATGTCATTGGCAAGAAGGAGAAAGATTAATGGACCAATCACACTTCCTTGTACAACCCCACTGGTTACATTCACAGGCCTAGAGTAACAAGGTCCAAAGCAAACGATTTGGCTACGTTCTTCTAAAAAAGATTTAGGCCAAGATAAAAGGGGATTCTGTATGCCAAATGAAGAGAGTTTTGGAAGAAGAAGTTTGTGTGAGACACTGTTGAAAGCCTTGCTGAAATCGAAGTAAAGAATTATCGCTGACTGACCAACATATCTTCTCTGAGTAGTTTGATCAAAAAATTCCAGGTGCGATGTGAAGCATGAGCGTTTAGTCATAAACCCGTGTTGGGATGGGCTAATCAGACTAACTGAAAGTAAAAAGGTTAATAGTTGTTTGTGGATGATTTCTTCCATGGTTGTTGAAAGCACGGATGTCAAACTAATGGGCCCATAGTTAGCAATATCACTACGTGATCCCGTTTTGAATCCAGGGATGATAAGAGATGTTTTCCATACAGATGGATAAGCCTGTGGCAAGCCCATTTGACTACTGTATCATTTATCTAGTCATTGTAACTCAGACTCTTAATTTACTATGTTAATTTCGGTGTGTATGATCGAAAGTATGTCTGTACATTAACTCTTAAGCTATCTTCCTATTGGTCTCAATGTTCAGATAATCGATAATCTATCCACACCCGATTAACTCTCAAATATATATGGATTTTTAACAGACTCTCACACTCTCTCTGTTTCATCGTGTGCTTGCTCACCGTACGCTTGTGGATTATTATTATTCATTATCAATAAACTATCTCTATAACTGGTGTTCAGGCTTTTTAATAATCTCGAGTAAATTCGCAATTCTACTAGGAGATTAAGCCTACCTAAAACACTCAGTTACGGGATATTATTATTTGGAGTCAGATATTGAGGACATTATCCATAACATTTTGGTGAACCGCTTTTAGAACACACACCATTTCTCTACAAATTCTGCTGCATACTCTCCAAGCGTATCTTAAAGAACTTCACATTGGAATTACTATTACAATTATTAACAATTCATTAACAGTCATAATAAATCCATCCATAACATTGTTCCT